AGTTGTATGCAATTGGACTGCCTATTTGTTTAGAAGCGACGTTATTATATAAAAAAATGAAAAATGGAGCCGTAACAAGGACCTCTTGTGTTCACGGCACAGATGGATATTGCAATTGTAGTCATTGTCCTTTTTCAGGCAAAGTGAAAATAAATATACAGTGGGGATCTAGCTGTCAGGGAGAAGGCTGCTCAGTAAACATGGTTTGGCACAAGGATACAACCGAGAAATAAGTACATTCGTAAGTGTCTGCACGTGCAAAGACAAATGCACAGGTGATGGATTTGACGCAGCAAATCATTTCATAACTAAACGTCCCTGAAAAACAATAAGTTTTACTGTTAAAATACGATTTGTTTCGCATTTGACGGGAATACAGATGGCGCTCGGTGTCATGGTGGATCCTATTACAACGATTCAGTGTCTTCTTAAAGACTTCAATAGAAGCGGACATTACAGCTTCTAGGACCAGATCAATCCAAGGTTCAACAACTCTCTTACAAACTAAGAACCTTAGTGCGTCCAGTTTGGCTGGAGTCACACGTAGTTTGAATAGATGACGTCTTAAGTTCGTAGTTTGGGCTAACTCGAAGAAGTCACCAGGTAGAGGGCAACAGTCCTGGCCGCTCATGATACGAATTGCTTTATCAGATCACCTCGTAGCTGCATGTAATTCAAAGAAAAATAGATCAAGCTTAAACAAGTGTGCCTTATATGAAAATGAGCCTTGTCCAGTCACAAGATTGGTTGCACACCTTTGAAGCTTTTCAAGAATGTTGAGGACTGTTGTGGTCCAGGGTCTACAAATTCGAATGTCATTTGCGGCCGCACACATTTTTCAAGCACTTTAGTGAAGAAGTTTCCTTCGAAGGCAGAGAAAGCCCGTTTGACAAGGTACAGGACTGAAATCGCAGACTTGGCTACTTTGAACAGTGCATCATGGGTTTAATCGAGGTCGAGATCCATATTCCCAAACCCTTCTGCACGTCCACTGCTTGCATTTGTGTGCCGCTGCTGATGTGGATTCCGGGGCGTTCGTCACGGTAGGCATCCATCAGCGTGGCAGGGAGCATAAAAATGAGGAGGATAGGCGTGAGAACACAGCCGTGCTTCAATCCATTGGTCACTGCGAAGGCTTCGAGGACCGTCCCGTTGTCCGTGAGGTGCGCCATCACCCTATCGTTGAGCTGTCGTATCATGTGTGTGAAGCGTTCTGCCAGATAAATTTCTGCGTTAATTTTCACCATCCGACGCGATTCACTTAGTCGAAGGCTATCGACAGGTAAACGAGGGTCGTGAAGAGGTGGGTGTGCATTTTCCGGCATCTCTCCTGTAGCTTTCGCGGGGCAAAGATCCTGTCAGTGGAGGTGAGAAAAAAACTTGCTTTCCGGCAGGAGCACATCATCCAAGTGTTTTTTAAGACGGTTTAGGAGTACGCTAAGGAAAACATAGCCGCCGATATTGGCCAGCAAGATTCTTTGCTGATTATCACAGAGTTGGTGGATCCCTTTCTGCTTACAGAGGTGTGTGTGTGTTGCAGCCCTTGTTCGACAAGGGGTCCCGACCGAAGTCCAAACTGGGTGTAGTTTGAATACGGAGAAAACTCAAGACCTCGACTGGCTTGAGCCAGGGCTCCGCAGGAGTGAGTCAGGTGCGTGACCTGAAACTGCAGGCGAATAAATGTTGACAGTTACGCGGAGAAACGCCGCATTTGGGACAGCAATTGGGTGTGGACGGATCAAGCCGGTGTTGGTACTGGCAAAGAAGCACATAGAAGCCACTGCGTAGTTGAGACAAGGTACAGCAAGTGACCCTCGTGTGTTTTTATTGTTCAGTAGTCGAAATCGGAGGAGGAAAGTTTCTCAAAAGGGCCGCGCGATGGTAAATTCGTTTTTATGCGACAAAGTCTCTCTGGTAATAACGCTGAAAACCTGTCAGGATGGGAGATACACCAGAGGATAGATCTGTAAGACATGAAGCGATAGCTTCTATGTGGAGCGCTCTAGTAGACGGCCGAACGTTGCGGCTAGTTTCAGCAACGTCACAACTGTGGTGATTTGGGCGGCCGGGTTGCAAACCGGTCCACCAACACTGCTGGCCTAAGTCTGCGTTATGAGGGTTGACCGGCAGGATCAATAGGCGATATTTTCTAGCAACCCGTGCTTGAGCGGTGGACGACGTTCTGTGCTGACCGAAAGAAGCGGAGGCCTGATCGTAGGAGACAAGACTGGTGCCG